CCCCCAGATCCCTCAGCGCTGGCTCAGCCCGACTCTTCAACCCCTCCAGGGATCCCGGGGACTCCCCCCTGCCCTGGGCAGCCCATTCCAACGCCCAACAGCCCCTTCTGCACAGAAATCCTTCCTCAGAGCCAGCCTGACCCTGCCCTGGGCAGCTTGAGGCCATTCCCTCGGGGCCTGGCGCTGGGGCCTTGGCTCCAGAGACTCATCCCCCCTCTCTGCCCCCTCCTGGCAGGGAGTTGCCGAGGGCCAGGAGGTCTCCCCTCAGCCTCCTCTTCTCCAGACTGAACCCCCCCAGTTCCCCCAGCCGCTCCCCAGCAGACCTGTGCTCCAGACCCTGACCCTGACAGAGGCTGGTGGGTGCTGTGGTGAGAGCAGGGTGCAGAGAGCTCTTGTGAAGCTGGTCTGCATCAGGCCACCCAGGGCTCAGAGAGGACCATCCCTTTCCCAAGAGTATTTCCAGACCCTTTTCCAAGAGCATTTCCCACACGTTTGCGTGCGAGCCCTCGCCTCTGCCAGCAGCTGGAAGGTGTCAGCCTGCCTGGACTGCAGTTCCAGGGTGGCAGTTCTTCTTTTCAGCTAACACAGATGTGTATTTTCAGTGGTTTTGAGCATCAAAGGCACTCAGGCGAGTCCTTCACCTGAGGAAAGTGGTCCTGCCGGTGGGTGGGCTGTGTCGGAGGGTGGTGAAGCCTGGGAGGGCACATGGCATGGGTCCTGCTTGTCCCCACTGCGGGGGACAGACAGCGGGGGCGATGCAGCCGCTCCCCGGGGTGCATTCCCTGTGTGCTTGTCCTAGGTGACACCGGGTCTCGAGGGCCAAGAGGGGGAACTGCTCGTGAAGGGACCCTCCGTCTTCCGCGAGTACTGGAACAGACCCAGAGAAACAGCAAACGCCTTCACCCCCGACGGCTGGTTTAAAACAGGTACCGCAGGGGGAGAGGATGGCAACAGCTCCGGGCTGGCTCCCGGGGTTCTCCGGCTGCTGGGGGGGGTTTGGAGATGGGGCGTCACAGCCTGGCTGGGGGTGCGGGTTGGCCACGGTTCCAAACACCAGGCTCGGGGCCGGGCTTCGCTTGCGTTGGCCATAATTAGCCAGCCAAGAAATGGGTGGTTTGGGGTTGCTTACTTGTAAGTATAATATACGGGTGCTTAATGATTTCTGGGGATAAAACTTTGCAAATGGGAGGGGTTTGGCTTAATTTACACGGGGGCTTTGTCACCTCCGAGGGGCTGGGTCCATCCCGCTGCCCCTCTCGGCGCGGTGTCCGCGGGGGAGTTTGTCCTGCTCACGGCTGAGTGTTTGAAGACGAGGTGTGTAGGGTCGAAGGCACGAGCACGGGCAGCGCGGCCGCGAGGGGTGGGCTGGGGTCGTGGGCTTGGCCACCGGCGTCACGAGGGAGCTTGTCAAGGAATCGTCGTTTGTCAGAAAGTACTAACTGATGGAAGGCTGAACTTTCTGGGGGAGAATCACAGCGGGTGTCTTCAGCGGGGGAGCGAGCGGTTCAGGAAGGGGTTTTGAAATTGCCAGAACGTTCTTTTAAAGTGAAAAGTCTGAGCCTTTCAAACAGACTTTTTAATTTGAAACCAAGGCTCATTTTATTTTTACATGATAAGTTATGGAAATGCGAAGGAAATGTTTCTTTTTCTGGGTTTTCTCAGGATTTGCCTTTCCCTTTCAAGAGCAGGAAAAGTTTCTGTAACATAAAATGTTTCCAGGGATGGGGAGACCTCTGGTATTTGCTTCTTTCAAATCAAATCTCACCGGAAGATAATACCTCAGTGATAATAATACCTATTGCAGGTGGGTCCTCTGTGAGCCTTGGGAGGTTTTATCAAATATTTGCAAAGAGAAAAAAGATCCTGGTAGCCTGTGATAGCAGCAGCTGCCTTTGGGCCAGTCCCTACTCTGGCTGGGAGGGCAAGTTTTGGGAGGAGAACTTTTAAGCCTAATCCTGCTCCTCACGTGGGATAAATTCAAGAGGATACCAGGCTGAAGACCTTTCCCGAAGGGGATAGATGTGACAGGCCATGAATTAGTGATGTGCTCCAACTGCTGCCTTCCGCTCTGCGCATGGCGCGGTCAGACGCCTCCTCCCTCAGAGGTTCCCGTCCCCCGGCGCCGTTCTGCGGTTTGGATTAAATAGGGAGGGAGGCTCCAGCCGGGGTATCGGTGTGCCCACCTTTCTGCTGCCCCCGCCGCCCGCGGGGAGCCCCCTGGGCACCGGGGTGTATAGAGGCAGCGCCGTCCCTCTGCCTGCCCCGAGCCCAACCGCTGGTTCATCTTGCCAGCACAGAAGTGCGGGCTGGCTCGTCTCTGCCCAGCCTTAACACCTCCCCACTGCCCTCTCTCGAGGCAGGACTCAGGCTGGATTTCTGATGCCTTCGGCGTAATCTTATTTATTTACGGTTCTTGAAGAAGCGGTGATTTATTATTATTGTTATCCCAAGCAGGCGCGGAGCTGCCCTGCTGGCAGTGTCACCGCGGGTCCCCATCCCGGGCGAGTACCGCGGTCTGGGACCGGAGCATCGTCAGGCGATGTGCAGGGTGCAGGGCAATCAGCTTTAAAAATTTTTTTAGTCAACACTCCTGATGAATATTTCAGATGCAAAGGAATAGCATGCATTAATTATTGCAAAGAGATGTCTTTAGGAGAAAATGATTTTGAAATTCGGTTTAATTTCATTGTAATGCGCTGCAAACAGGAAGGGAGTATGTGTGTTTAATTGGCTCTCGGGGGTAAGGCCGGGAAGATGGCATGCCTTTGTCACAGGCCATTAGTGATACAGACTGCATAATGAGAGAGTACAATCAGCTCACAGCTGCCGGCTCCTACGGGGAGAGAATGATATTAAATAGAAATCAGTATAAATTAAACTTAACCCTTTCGCTAGCTGAGCAAAACTCAGAGCTAGAATAAAGGGGGGGGGGACGGACGTGGAGACAGGCGTGAGGGGTTTGGGCTGGGTTGGGGGTGCCCAGCCAGCAGCAGACCCCTGGCCAAGCTGCCTCCCCGACATCCCCCGCCGCTGCCTAGGGAGGACAGCAGGCTTTTAACTCTCTTCCCCATCCCGTTCCCCCACTCTCTGCCTTTCTTTCCTTTCGCTCCTCTCCTGACCGCTTGCTCCGTCTCGCAGACGTCGGGTCAATAGGGCTATTTTTTTTCCCAAGCCTCATTTAGCTGGCAGTGCCGTGAGCGTGCCCCATCGCCCCTCACTCGCCCTGCCTGTCCCCACCACGGTGACAGCCTTCGGGGATCACTCGGAGATGGCAAACATCCCTGGGGTGGCAAAACCCCAGTTCGGGGAACTGAGGAGGTTATATGTCCCATCCTAGCAACGGGGGTGTGGAGGGTGAATTACCCCCGTTAAGCAGCGGTGGGTAATTTCGGAGTGGAGACTGTGCTGGCAGAATCCAAAAGAGGCAAAACCTGGGTGCTGCCGGGCCGTGATCTGCTCTGTCTGCCATTTGCAGGCCGTACGGTGGATGTTTTAAAGGCGAGGCTGCGTGCGTGCGCACGGTGCTCCCGAAACCCGGGCGATGTATTTCCGAGGCCGCACTAGCGTTGTCTCACCTCTGGAGCCGCGTGTGCGTCCCCACCAAGTGACCTGCAGGTCACCTAAAGCGGGTGACGGTGTGATTGCAGGCGGTGGCCGGGTCCCCCCCATCCCTCAAGGACGCAGGGAATGTGCACTCGGCAGTGACAGGGACGAGTTTTGGAGAGGGAGACAGCGTGGGTAACTCCTCTGCTGTCATCGTGAACGGCGATCCCAAAAACCGGCGGGTCAGCAAATGGAGAGTAATTCCTGTGAGGGCAACCCCAGCGTGCTGCTCGTGTGTGCCTTGCTGGGAGCGCGTCCCTGGAAGGACACAGCTCTGGGGTGGCACTACACAGGGAGGGGTGTCCTGTGGCTGTCACTCCCTGTGATGTTAAACAGAAGGTGGGAGGATGTCTCAGCATCCCCTCCCCGTGCATCGCTCCCGCCTCACGAGGTGTTTGACCAGCCTGGGGCTCTACCTGGGAATCCCTCCTTGGAGTTCACACACACACACAAAGCCAAGAGTCACCGGAGCTCGTTCCCTCTGTTGGTTTTGTGATCGGAGTTAACTGGAACTGCTGCGCGGGGCTCGCGGGGTCGGAGGGCCAGTTCCCCTCATACCTGCCCCCAGGGAGAGGGACGACGCTCAAGCCCTGCCAGCCGCCTGCTGAACTGCTCCATCCGCTCCGCCGGCTGCTTCCCGCAGTGCAGGGCTCATGGAGGAGTCTTGAATTTCTAAGTCTTTTCTGGCTACAAGTCATTTGTTTCCCCAGTACCTTCCTCAGGCCGTTTCTCTGTTTCTGGCTGCTCTTTCTATAAATTGAGTTATCGTGGTTTTTTGTCAGAAAGTAGAGGAACCAAAAAAAGAGTCAATGCTTAATGGCAGCGGTTGTTTTCCTTGCTGATTGACAGCTCCTTTATTAAAATCCCCTTTTCTCCCATGAAACTCTCTTCCCCAAGAAAACCACCTCACGTTGAGCATTGGGGATGGTCATTCCCCTCCGTGACGGGACACAAAAAATAGCGATGCGGAGTGTGGCCGCCAGCCCTCTCCCCACAGCGTGCTCCTCCTGCAGCTCCCTGCTCCGTTTCCAGGGAAATCTCGGAAAGACCAGACATTCCGTGCAAACAACTGCAAACCTGAGTGTCCTCCCCCCGGCTGAGAGGCAAACCCCGTGCAGGAGGCTCCTGCAGGCATCCCTCTGTGAACGGGCCCTTTTTGTGCCTCCAGTTAGAGAAGGAACAAGTGTGTGTGTGTGTGTGTGTGTGTGTGTGTGTGTTATGGGGAAAAAAAGGGAGGTCAAAAGACGTGGTGCTGCAGTGACTTTTTGATGAATTCAAGATCGTGGCTCTGTTGAGAAGCATCTGAACCGGTGGTGTTGTGTAGGTGATTTACTGTTGCTCCCCGTCCTCTATTCCCTCCGATTTGCACCGCTCTCTGCCCATCTCTCTCATTTCCATCGGAGTGAATTTGATTATTTTTGTTGTATTAACGCTGTTGACAGAGCTGCTTAGATCAAAGTCCCCTCCAGCCATTTCCAGGGAGGCTGCTGGGTATCCACCTGCTGTCATGCATCCAGGCAGCCCTGAGCCCTCGGAGACTGAGACAAACCCAAAGGAAAAATGAGACAAGCCCAAAGGAAAAATGCCTGTGGCCGTCCGTCTCCTGTCACTGCGACACCTTCCCAGCTGCCCCACACCCTGCGAGGTGAGAGGCCACCTCCGAGCGTACTCACATCCCGCTGAGCAGGAAAGGTGGAAGGAAGAAAGAAGGAAGGAAGAATTTTTTTTACGACGGGGGTGGTGAAACACTGGAAGAGGCTGCCCAGAGAGGTGGGGGATGCCCCAACTCTGGAAACATTCAAGGCCAAGTTGGACGGGGCTCTGAGCAACCTGAGGTAGTTGGAGATGTCCCTGCTGATGGCAGGGGAGTGGGACTGGATGATCTTTAAGGTCTCTTCCAACCCAAACCGTTCTATGATTCTGTGGTTCTATGAGCAGTCGCCGAGCAAACCTCTGCTGGAGGAAAGCGGCAGAGAATCGCGCGGTTCTCGGGTCATCCCTCTCCCTGATCATTATTCATCCATCCCAGCCTCGTGATGCTCATGGCGCTGGGGCTCTGGCACCGTCAGGTCGTGTTCTCTCTGCCCAGGAGGCAGCGAGCGGCTTCGGAGGCCTGAGGAAGGGGCCGGGGGGGTTGGGAGGGTGATGGAGTTGCCCGGGCGCTGCCCGTTTGCCTGCCTGTTCTCCTGCCTGCGCAGGGCCGGGCAGGGCGCGTTCTCCGGGGGAATCTGGCAGGACAGCGGTGTGCGAGCGGGAGGGGTATGATCAGAAAGCAGACTTCTCCCCGAGGGAAGGCCGGCTTCCATTCACATTTGCCCATACA